TCTCTCTCTCTCTCTCTCTCTCTCCCTCCCTCTCCGCGTCTCCGTCCCTCTATCCGTATTTCTTTATTTTTGAAGTGTTCAATTTCATCTATTGCAGCAATGCAACGGTGGACTTTATTACAAACGCTCGTCAATCCATCTTAACGAATGCGTCTTGTCCGGTTTATTCACTAAAAGCAAACCAGCAGCGTAAAGGTTATTTGAAAAGTATCTGATGCGTTGGCTGTGCAATATAGCGTTAATACGCCGCACTGCCTGCTTAATGAAACTCACGCACGGAAATGTATCGGATTACCTCCCAGGACAGCGAAAGACCTCCTTTCCTCGCGGAATGACTCTGTGTTTTTTCGTTGCGTAAGCAAATCCCTTTTGGCCCTGACAATCGGGCATTAAGATAAATATGGAGGTTTTTAGCCGCCGCGTGACAGGGCAGGGAGAGAGAGAGAATGTGAGGGGGGGGGGGAGCTGGCGCGGTGAGAGACAGAGGAAGAGCGAGGTTGCGTGCAGAATGCTGGCTGTCACATCAAGTGAAAAGTAAAGGGGTTTTTGAGCTTTGCTGGGTAAGGGGAGAAAGGAGAGGGAGAGAGGGGAAGGGAGGGGGCGCCGCTCCTCCCCCTTTGCCGGTGCAAGCTTTGTGTGAGTGGCTGAATGTAGTGCAGTCGCCTGAGTCAATATTCAAACGATATTCCGTTCGTTTTATTTGAGTGTTTGGTCACGTCGTGCGCACGCGCTCGACCAAAAGGGCGAGTCACGCCATTATTGTGTTGGGGATATACACTACAACTGCACGCAAGACCAGGTGCAAAGGATGTTCCAGAAGAGTGCCCTCCTGCAAATAATTACCGACAAATGTGTCCCGAGAATATAATAATTATTATTCCTGCACGAAGACTCCGAACGTATAACCTCAAAACCAGCTCGCGGGAATGGCAGTTCCCGTTTGCATTGCGCGCCCCTCCTCCCGAGCAAGCGAGACGAACGAGCAGCAAACGCATGCCTCAAAATTGAATTACGGCCGAAAGTGTCTGCCGATCTGTACTGCCAACATAACCACGCAACGTTCTACAACTTTATAACATTCATGTCGCTCGACGGAGAAACAAGTATGCGGTCATCATGTACCTACAAATGTAAACAAAAAATCATTTATGGGAATCGGGAGGAGTTTTATTTATGACACAAAAGGAAGGAACTGCAGCGGCGGGGCTCAGTGCATCTTGGGAATCGGGTTTAAGTTACGGTCGCGTTCAAGTTTGTTGCTCGCAGGCTGGTGGTAGTCCCGGCGGACTTATTGGCGCGGGTCACAGCACGCCAGCGGGCAGCGCCACGGGCAGCGCCACGGGGCGTGTGAGGAATGGCCCGGGAGTCCTCCGACTCGCCATTCTGGGGAACTGTTGTTGAAACGTTGATGGAAAACTGTCGTTCGAGATGTAAACAGATGCATGCGAAAACCGTACGTTAGGTGGACACTGCCGCGCGTATCGGCGACAGACGGAGAGAGAGGGGGAATCAGACTGCCGAACGCAGTCACCTGACGGTCCCCGCTCATCGACACGCAACCGATATTTCTCATCTCGTTGGTTGCCATAATAAAGAACTTCCCACGGCGCCATGCGTCGCTCCGGGTCCGCTCGCGTAGAATAGCGAGTTCATCACGAGGGCCGTTCAGGTTGCACAAACGCACACACACACAAAGATTCATGTCGTTTTTCCCAATGCCCGGTCCGTAACACTCACGCGCCTTCCGTGCGGACAATCTAACTTTGTCGGTGACGGCAAGCCAAGGCAGCCTGCACACGCCCGCAAAATTCAGAATAGAGGAAAAGCGAAAAAACGGCGATGGGTATAAGAGAGGAACTGAAGTGACCGACGCGAGCAAAGGGGAGCGACGTTCGTTTCTTTGCACAAACAAAAAAAAAAGGAGGGAAAAGGTTAGTCCATAAAACCGCACGAAAAATACGCAGACATGCAGCTGCATAACCCATCTCTCCTCTCCCCCTCCCCCGCCCTTCTGATTCGCTCGCGCTTTACACCGTGGCACCCCTCGAGTGCGACTGAACCACTACAAAACGCAACAAAAAGCTGGGAAGGGGGGGGGGGGCAAAAAGGAAAAATTGAAAACGGAGTCGCCACCAGCACGAACTTCCCCCTGCTGGTGCTGTTTATGGGGTAAACAGAGCAAAAGGCACGGCCAGATATCAATAAATATATGGGGGTTTTTGGGAGGAAATCGCCGTTTTTGGCTGTTTAGAGGCAATCGCACGGCCGAGTGGCGCTGTAATGGGGGAGTGAGTCCGAGGGGAGGGTGAGTGGCTGCGTGCGTCGTGCTATTTGATCTTTTATTTCGTCCGTCACCCTCGACCATTTTTCTGTTTGCGCATCCCTTGACCTCACACACAGTACTCGGCGCTGCGACACTCGGCCTTGAGAAGCGGTGGACGACACAACTAGAAATATCTGCTGAAAACTCAATTTTTAACTCTCAAGGTATGGGACCTTGGTTAATTAAAGATGACACTGTTAAACTAGCTACATGCACGCCAGACCACTTCTTGCGAAACAGGCTTCCCGATATCCCACGACTGTACTATGTACGATTTGTATAACTATGTACGCGGGAAATAGGTATATTGAACTGCAACTTTTACATGTGCTTTTGTAAAAGGCATACATAAAGTATCCACAAAGTATAGCAGATTGGCATGGCTCCACATAGCGACATACTTTCCGAACACTTTGGCCAGTCACATATTTTTTGGGTACTTATTTCCAAGCGGAACGATTCGTACATAATCGCGCACAAAAAATGTGCATACTTTTTATCGCGTAAAATTCTGCACGTTTATGCACAGCAAATTGCATAAGGGGTTTAGAGTGAATAATGCTTCGATGACTTAGTTGTTTTGACCACAAACAACGCCTTGAAAAAGGTTTCTCTTGTCCTGCCCTCGAGTCTTCCCGCAAGTCGGGGAGGAGGCTTTACTTGCACTCGTGTGGCGCCTCTCTCGCTGTCAACAACTTCCTGTTTGATTCGGTGTCGGACGCCTGTCTTGGTTTGCAGAATAAGAAATTGCCAGACAACCTCGCCCCTCACCGACACCCTTCCCACGGCTGCTTTTCCCACCTTAACCACCCCCTCTGTCTTTCCCTCCACCCCTCACCCCTCCCCACTCCACGCTTCGCCCACGCGCCGCGCTTTCCACAAACCTCTCCTCCTCCCCTACCCAGTCTGCCGCTCTCCCTCGCACGCCTCACTGTCGCTTGCAGAAAGAGGGAGAGCGAGAGGGTTAGGGGTGGTGAGGAGTACGGAAAGAGCAGTACTCCGTCTCACTCACATTTCGTGCATCCCGAAAAGGCGTGCGCAGTCATAATGATTCCTGATTAGAGCTCAGCTGCAGTCTCCGGAGAGAGAGAGAGAGAGAGAGAGAGAGAGAGAGAGAGAGAGAGAGAGAGAGAGAGGGGGGTGGGTGAGGGAAGGGGAAACGGTGACAGGCAAGTTTTAGGTTTGAGAAGTCTCAAACACAGCGAAAGAAAAATGTTTCCAAGACTCGTC